CTTGGGGGCTTTCTTAAAGAACGATTTCTGCCTTTTCGGCAGTTGGTCATGAGGGTGAGACACCAGAACTGCGAGAATAACAGAGATAACTCAAACAGCTCAGGATGTCAGCTCCTGGACTGGAGAGGCGGGGCTTCCTTTACGGATTCGCCCAGGAGGCTTTGCGCACAGATAAGGGGGCGGTCCAGCTTGACTAAATTCTACCCAGCGTGGCTGCCGCATTACCTGCTTGGAGACCCGACTATCTTGCTTTGGGAGACAGAACCTCAAACTAAGTTGCTCAGGTAGAGTTTTCTAGCAGGAGAGTTCTTTAAAAATAATGTAAAGACCCTGTTCCCATGTCAGCGCCTCCTTTCTGTCTTCCTGTTTGCAGTTTGGATGCCATATCTTTCCCATCTCTGGGAGTGGGAAAGGTAACATGTATTTCCACCACCTCTGTCAGGAATGAGAAAACAGCATACTAGCCAGCTAGACCCTGAAACCTGAGCTCTCAGGCTGGGGCGTGGTCCAGGAATGGGCTCAGAGAATCTTTGCCTCAGAGACAGTGAATGTTTGGTGGCCAGGATGTCACAAGTGAACCAGGCAAGCTCTTCTTGGAGGGAACCAGGATCAAGTGAAGGGGCCTTTGTGTACAATGGTTTCCATTATCTCATGGTTTGCTACCTGGGAGCATCCAGGCTGAGCCTTTCTCTCCCCAGGTACTTGATCCCAGCCTTGATCACTAATTTAAAAGCATTTGCCCTAGTGCATCATGGGTCCCCATGGGCAAGGATTTCACAAGTGTGAGGCCCCTTAGGACTAGTGGATATAAAAGGGGACTTTGCCTTTTCTACCTTCTCAGCCCCACACTCAAAAGTGTCTCTACCTGACCATAACCAAAATCCACATGCAACTTGTGTGATTAGAACTGAGAACTCTATAAGCTGCTTTTCCATCATCACCAGATAATGGAAATGTTTTCCTTGGGTTGACCTTGGTGCCTGAAAATACCAATCTCTCATGCTTATTTAGAAATCCCATTTCTTTGGATGAATCTAAATTCTTTGATGTGAATGACAATGTCATTTACAACCCAGCCCTGTGTGCTTCACAAACCTCATCTCTCACACACATCCCACAACCTTAAGCCCCTTGATTGAAAAGTTTTCTTGGTTCTGCCACCACATCTTGCTCTTCCAACCCCAGGCCATTTGCACGTGCCATTCCCTCTGACTAGAATGTTCTTCCTCTCATCCTCACTTCACATGGCTAAATGTATTCATCCTCCAGTTTACACATCACCTTGTCTAGAAAGCCTTCTCTTATCCCCAGGCCAAGATAGCACACAACTCTCTACTTCATTCACTCATTGAATTTTTCATTCATTCACTCATTCAAAAATGAGTGGCTTCTGTGTGCCACAGTGCTGTTACTCAGTGGGGGTTATTGTTTGTTTTATTGCCTGTTTCTCCCTCTGGGTAGGAGCTTATTGAAGGCAGAAGCCATGCATGACCTGTCCAGTGTTGTACCCAAGTACCCACCAGTACCTGGCACAGAATAGGTGCTCAATAAATCTTACTGAATGAACAAAGCTGCCCCACAGCCCCTTGAAAGCCTGAGCTTGGAAGCCTGGGCTCATCCTAACTTAATTCGTTGGTCGAGATGGCTGGGTGATCAGGCCCTGGTGGGTTCCAATGGGGTGGCTGCCAGCTTTGGTAATTTGATGGATTTTAAAGAAGGGCCTGGCATCTGTGATACTCAAAATAGTTCTAGGAAACTGGCTGGACCCTTCGCTGAAGGTTGGGTTCTCGAGACCAGCGCAGGGCTGTGTGTATGAGCTAGAGAGAACTTCTAGAGTCAAGTTGTGGGTCCAGGCCCATGGCAGAGAGAAGGCATACCCTCTGCCCCTCCTCCTGGCCCTTGTCAGACCCAAGACCCTTAGCGAAAGCACACAGGGATTCAATCTACTGAGGCTCAACCGCATAAGCTCCAGGCAAAGGTGAGAAGTTCCAGACTGAGAAGCCTTCCCGATGAGACAAGCTGTGCTAGGTCTCCTTCCCTCCTTGTCCACCCTCTGCTATTCTGTAGGTTAACAGATGAACTGGGTCTGGCCATGTGTACACAGCAGGGCTGCTGGCCCTGACAGTGACTTTGTTTGGATGATAAAAAGGTGCTCCTCCTGGGTCAGAAATTATAAAAAACACACCCCCTCTGGCCAGACAAATGAGAAAAAAAGACATTTTTCTCTGGGCTAGAGCATCCCCATGTCAGCCTTCACCACTGGCTTGGTGAGTGGAGGGTAGGTGGGGTTTAACTCCAATGCACAGGACACAGCCAGCGTCATATAACATCCCTGGCAG